ATTGTTTTGGTTATTTATAGCAAAGTATGGTATCATTTTAATGGTCCGGCCCACTTGACATCTACCGAGGCCGTATGTGGCCCACCATGTGAAATGAGTTTGACACCCCTGACCTAGACCGTACCATACCGTAGCATATTAACATTATATTAAATGTATGTACCTCTGATGTACTATATTCTATTTACGTCATATATAATAACTTTATGTATCATGTTTGCATTCTATTTGTGTCTGTACACCTTCCGTCTAGTATCATAATCAATATACATTTTATATACATACACACACACATACACACACATATATACACATATATATATATATATATATATATATAAAAAATTGACATATTAGTAATAGATTGACATCATAATGAACGTCAAATGTCCCATATTAATGTCAGAATAACTGGTTTTCCTCTTGTGTATCATGTTTACGTCAAAATGTCTAATGTACCTTGCACACATTATATTTAATGTGTAATGTACCATAGGTGCGCAATATTAAATGTATGTACCTGATATGTATCATATTTAAATATCTAACGTCGCACAGAAACGTCACATTTAATGTCTCATGTAACATTTCTGTGTCTAATGAGCAAAATATTCACTGTCTGACGTGTCATATTGAAATTAACTTCATTTTGAATGTTGACATATTCCATATGTAACTACATCATATTTAATATTCTAATGTAGCATACTGACATCATATTTCAAGGAGGCTATGGACATTTCTTGTTGTGTCGGTGTCACCTGTTCTACTCCCAGAAGTAAGTCAGATACCAAATGGTTTCATTCTTCAGCTGAGGGCCAAAAAGAGGATTGGTCTGCGCCAGGATGGCTATTAACCAGCTGTAGGAAAACACACAATTATGAAATATATCTACATCAAATGATACAATAAAGCTATCCTCGAACATGCATCATGGGCCCAAAAATTCAGATTGTATCCCGGTGGCGCGAAGCAACTGTAATGATGGTGTTTGGCGCCCTCCAGTGGTTTATTGTGTCAACAGTCGAGACATTGGAAACGCAGTCACGTTCAAAATGTAAATGTAATAGTGTACTGCACATATTTTTTGTTGTTGCAAAGTACTCACAAGAGGTAGCAGCAGACGGCGGTGAGAATCAAACTGGTGACAATCACCCTGGAAAAGACAGTCACATTAAAATACAGGACATTTTACACCACAGGAATTATCTGGAACCTAGAACTTTGGAGGGTCTCGCATGTTTGTACCACGACAAAAATACACTTGGCACCGAACTAGCAACTTGGCCCCGGAATTAGTGAAACTGACCCCGTCATGAAGGACTTACCCCCATCACTTTGGAATTTGTCAGGAACTAGGGACTTGACTGTGAAGGAGGGACATGATCGGCAAGTCGGGGCTTGACATTAGAACTAGGAACTTGAAATGGGAACTATGGATTGATCCCAGAACAAGGGTCTTGACCTCAGAATTAGGAACTTAACCCTGTCATGAGGGACTTTTCCCAGTCATTGCAAATTTACCCCAAAACCAGACTTTTGCCCTGAAAGCAAAGTAACTTTTGAAGCATTCTTAGCTGTTTGTACCATGGGAACGCTGAGAAGAATGCATTTCCAGCCAAAAACAAGGAGTATTAAGACGACTAACTGTTTTTTGAGGCACTGCATGCGGTCCAGACCCTTTCTTGTGATTCAATTTTTGGGTCTATGGTTATCATTGCACTTTGCCTCTCGCCATCACTGGTACCTTCCGGTTGTGAGGTCACACGTGATTCGCTTAACACTGGAGCAATTCATCTTGGTTCGATTAAAACGGAAACAAAGAAGGTCTTATGTTAGTGTTGAGCTAAGAGAGGGAGAGAAAGAGAAAATAGAGAGAGAGAGAACCAATGAGACGTAACGTCGTTAGCGTTAGCTGCTACACCCACCTACCCGCGATTTGGTCCTTTGGGCACCAAAAAGGGAGCCACCACCCCCACCAGCGCCCACAGGGTGGTGAAACAGATCATCGGCAGCGCGAGAGAGTGAGACACCATGACTACTGTCGGAGGGAAAAAAATGTGAATTTTTCAAGAAATATCTGCTCGCACAGTAGCGTCGATGGCTGCCGCTCAGCTCGCTTATACCAGTAGTCCCGCCTACTGAAGCAGAGGCGCCGTTTGACTGGTTACTAGGAAACGTCAATTGTGTTGTGATTTCGGCTTTAAAGTTCCAAAATAGCCCGCCTACTAAGAAGAGTCGGCATATGATTGGTCGACGTGGTTGCCTTTCACAATTGTTGCATAGTAACATCGAGAATTAACCCAGAACTAATTCTTTCTTCAATCCTTGGTATTTCTCCTTATTTTTGTTCCTTTTCAAATTAACATTTGTGATTGCAACATCTATTATGACTGCTGTCTTCTGATGTTTCTCCGCCCCCACTATTATCAGGCCGGTTGGGTATCAACGGTTTGTCAGTCTTCTTCCCGCTAATAGAATGCAAAAGTCTGCTAGATTTTAATGAAGTGATTGATTCATTCATTGATTCAAGTCTAAATTTACATCATTTTAATCAACCTAACGTACGGTATACGCTCGAACAAAATTTAAATCTGTGGATATGTTGAAAATGTTTTGAGTTGTGGATGTGGGAGATCGTTTCAGTGCAATAATATCCAGCTGCAGACTCGGAGGAGGTAGATTTAGGCTATGGTAGACATACGACGGAAGTGGCTGTGGTAAGTTTAGGTCAATGGATTTTCAAAATAAAGTCGCTAAGTGGCTGTGGTAAGTTTGAGATGGTAGGTTTGAGATAGAATTACTTTGTTTGGGATGGTAGGTTTGAGATAGAATTACTTTGAATAGAATTTTAATTGAATAGAATTACAAAACACCTGGCTTCTGTATCCCCGCCAAAACGTATACCTATATTCCCTAAATGATCCATGTCCATTTAATATAATACAATAATTACTTTGACTTATTTGTATTTTGACGAGTAGAGTCAATAATTCATAAGGTTTTAATATAATACAAAAATTACACAACACCTGGCTTTTTATGCATTATAATAAATATAAAATAAAACCAGATTCTGTATCCCCACCAAAATGTATCCCTATATTCCCTAAATGACCCATGTCCATTTCTAAAGCACTGTGGGCAAATAAAACACAAAAAATATTTTTGAAAAAGCACTTTATTGCTCACTCATTCACTTCCCTTGTTGTCGCAACTCCTTTTCGATCCTCTGCTCAAATTGGTCTCTTTCACTGAAATAAGGTTGTAAAACATGAAATGCAACAGAAACTGAAATGTTTTGAAATGTGTTATTTGGGACATGAGAAAGGGAGTAAGGATTTAATTGCATTTTAGTTGAAAGAGAATTAGATGGTTTACTCTTACCTTGTGTGTAACGTTTGTCCAACAATAAATAAGTTTTCGGCATGTGCCACTGAGACCTTGTGGGTCACGG